CAATGACCGCTTCTTGATGCGCGAAAACTAACCAAATGTAAGTAGCACCTGACAACACTCCTTCCCCGGTGAAAATGGACGATGCATGCAGCGAGCGATGACGTCTTTATTTCGAGAATTCGAACAAGCCTGTCTCCGGTTGACAACATTTGTGGTTTCATGATTGATTTTTGATGACCTGACCAGGAGGTTAAATTGGGACGACTCTGTGACACACGGCTATTGTTCCAGTGCCATTCATCGTGTTAACGTCTGTCGTCGTTCATCTCCTTAACTTTGTTCAGTAGATGCTTTTATTTACTTATTCCATATGATCTTTCGCATCTGGAGAGTAATCTTCTTGAGCCAGGGTAGCCGACAATTCCTTCAACATGGTGCCTGCATGTTGCTTCCGGCACTTTGTGAAGTGCACCTGGTTTCCGTTTCACATACGTTCCTTACTTGCCCATCGCTTTGGCCTGCTATCTGACGAAATTTTGTTTTCACCGCCGTGTTCCCAACAGAGATAGTTCGATCTGCTGCGCGTCAAACTGCAGCTCGTATTCACCACTAGTCTGCATTGCTGTAGTCCAGGCTCCGCTGACTCAATTGACTGGGGTTTCACAAATGAAACTGCGACACATGTCAAACAAACATCGCTCTTTCTGATCCCCATATCTACATCAGTCTGAACTGAACGACGATCAACCGTTACGAAAAGTGCCTTGTCCCGGAACGACGATTTGAACGGAATCAGGGGTTTTCTCACGGACCATTTGCGCTATTTAGAGGCAATTTTTCTGCCAGTACCCTGGCTCTTCACGCTCAATATTCCTCTTCCTGCCATTTCTCTGGCTGTAGTCTGCTTGAATGACCGCCACTTCCGTCAGTTTCTTGAGTGTCGCCGAAACCCCTGTGGGCTGGCGCCTAGGGTCTCTTGTTGTCTGGACAGGAGTGACCTTCTTCTCGGTGAACTCCCTCAGGACATCGCCCACGCGCGGCCCTCGGGAAGCGCTTGGAGTGCTGTCGGCCTAGCCGGGTCTGACCGTATTCCGACCAGCTCCGAAACTTGAACTCCTTCGGGAAAGTTCATACATTCCCATTATCGAAGGCTGCAGGCCATGAAACCCTCATCACGGCAACGGCACTAAACGCTATTGTTCCACAGGTAAATAAGCTTACTCAGAAAGAAACATCTAGTTTGCGAAAATTGATTAGTATTTTCGTGGTAGTCTCTTCATCGGTGATCGCCAAGATGACAGTCTGTTTGTCTCTTCTGTTGTTACCATAGCAAATCCTGTAATCCACTCTAGGATGCCGAGGGAATCCAACAACAGCTTCCTAGTGTGTGTAAACTACTCAAAAAATGTAAGTAGTTCCTCACAACAACGGCACTGTAGCTAATCCTATTTTCTAGCATATCATCTGCTTGGTTCTATGTATTGTAAAGTTGTGATTGTCGAGTACAAAGTGTATCGCTTTGCACTGTTCCGACTTTTTGTGGTTGATCTGTCTTTTGTATATACATACAGGCTCATTTGCTTTAGAATCCAATCTCCAACAGTGGACACGACCCAATTAGTGGGGTTAGGAACACTGGTAGATGAATGACCAGGGTTAAAAACCGAGTGAACAACATGCATGGATCGACCAAATGTGTACTGATTAGGCAAAACCATAGAACATTTTTGCTGTCAGCCGCTGTCCGGCACAAATGTGCGGACAGGACTGCGCATGAAGTGACGTGCTGGAATTTCTCCCGGGTTATATAGCACACACACTGTGTTGGGATTTGTCGGATCTATTGATCGGAGCCAAACCTACGTGGTCATCGCGTGCGGAAAAAGTGGGTAGGAAAGAAAGATGAGGCTGTGAGTGTGGGTAGGGGTAAAATTCATGCCCGCACTACACCAGAACACACTAATAGTGAGAAGATAGTGTTCCACGACTGGATAGGTGGCACCACCACGAATAACGGAGTTAAAGTTGTGTTTAGTGAGTGAATAACAGTTTGGCGTAAAGTTCAGCTTTAGCCTCGTTCAAAACCTGGTCAGTTCCTAGACTGCTGATTCATTCTTGGCGTTGTTACCATACTGAAGCACGGGATGGTGCAACTCGAAATGTTATACCCCTTCTGAGACACCATCAAGTTCATTATGGGGAGCCCAAATTTACTCGAAGCAAATAACCCTGTTCTAACTGTTAAAAAATGGGATTCCACAATCGAGTTGATGACTGAAGCTGAACTGGTGTTTGACTAATTTTGGCCATTGAACTTTTTGCATTCCTTATGGCGGAATTATACAAATAAGATATTCCGGATCGGATAGAACCACTTGATTGTAAACGAAATGGGATTTTCACAAATCAACCGGTTCAAACTGAAGACTGTTGCAGAATTGACCCACAAATCCTAAATGGTACAGTCAACTCTTTAAGTTAAGCATGGAATACCGGTACTAAACCGCAATGGGAAAGTAGCAGCTACTGCAGCCTCATAGGAAGGACTTCGCGCAATTCACCATCATCAACTCTTGAGAACGACGTGAAATTCATTACTTTTAAATACAATTTGTATCCACCCACACACCCCAAGCATCGATTTGCGTATTTCCTCGGAAATTATCGATTGCGATGTGTTCCAGCCAAAATAACTTATCAACATTGTTCAAGAAGACTCTAGATGTTTGATCAACTGTGTCGGAGCTTCTTCTGCAGCAGTAAAGTGTAGCGGTTCGCTTA